ACCCATCCCACCCCAGGGGAGGACATCCATTACACAGTAATCTCGTGCGTGGGAAATTAACGTCTCCTACTCCCAACCCTACAGGAGACGGGGCCTCCATTTATTCATCCCTATCCAAGAAGACTAGAATATCTAACCATTTCTTGAAGTTATAGAAAGGTAGCAAATTCTTCTCAATTATTTTAAGACCTTGAGTGTTGGTCTGGCTGGGGCTCGAACCCTCAACCTCCCGCGCAACATTCCATCGCACTATCCATCGGGCTAACTGGGCGGCGGTTAGCCCAATGGATAATAACGGTTAGCCCTTTGCTTCTTTATTTTAGGTGTTTCACAAATGCACTTTTGCTCCAATGAATCCACAGAGTCAGCTACTCTACCATCACTGATGTCAAAAAGCACAGCATATGGGTGAGTCCAAATCACTGCATAAAAGTACCAGTCTGAGATTGACTCACCTTCTACTGACAACCTTCACTGCATATGCAACCCCGGTTCGAATGTGGACACATTTTCTTGGGGAAAAAAAAGAAAAAAAGAAAAAAGACCAAAATTAGTTTAACATACAAGGTAATTTTTATCTTTTATTTTTTTTTTTCTGCATAGCTTATGCAACCCTTGTTTGAATGTGGATACATTTTCTTGGGGGAAAAAAAAAAACTAGACCAACACTAGCCTAACATAAATGTAATTTGAATTTTTTTTACTTTTTTTAAGGCAGGACCTAGGTCATGTTTCAGCCTCTAGCTATCCATTTTCAACTCAAAGGCACTATTTCCATAGAAGTTATGAATATACTGTTTTGCACACATAAGTGTGCAGTTTGTTGGATAAAAGTAAAATTAGATTATACTTATTACTTCATCGCTCTTCTTGTCTGAAGAAAAATAGGCAGTCATAATCTTCAAATACAGTACAAAAGGCATGGCCAATGATGCAGTAACAAAGTGTACTTTTTTATCTTTTTTAATTGTAACTTTAGGTTGTTAAGTGTCAAGCCCTGAAATGGCAGCTTAAAATAAGTTGAGCAAGTTTTTCTTTTAAAAGATCACGTCTAATGACTGCAACAAGGAAACCAGAGTGACCTTACCTACAGGTTGAAAAACTTCCATCACCAAGAACTTCATCACTGATAGCATAGTTTCGAAAAAAAGGAGAATCCTGAAAAACAACAATAAAATTTTGACAAGAGAGCCACATAAAAGTTACTAAATAAAAAATAATTGAAAAATTCATAAAATTTAGAGGATGACAGTGCCACGAGACTCTAATCTGAGCAAAGTGTTCTGTATCCATGGAAACCAACTCAGCAGTAACCACTAAGGGTACTCGCAGTAAATGAAAGAATATTCTTAGAAAGTTCAGCTTGCCAAACATTTCTCTCCAAGGAGAGCTAGTTACTGAAAATATTTTGTCTAAAAATATTCTAATCTAGATGGCTATACAACTGAATTATTACCTCAAATAAAGCTGCATAATCTACAGCACCTGGAGCTGGTCTGTGCTCTGAGGGTTTGTTTGCCACCAGATGCTTTGTAAATTCATTTTCTCCAAATATTATTGAAGGAGCTACAAATGAATAACCCTGAAAAAAAAAATTAAAAAGTACATTGCTTTGTGTAATTTTGCTAGTATATAGTAATGGTAAAAATCTTCTACAAAGTACACTGAGATATAAAATGTGCCAAAAGTGTAATGTTCTTTCATCATGCACAAGGGAAACTAACACACCAATTGAAAAAATTCAGCCACCTTATGGACACGAAATTATCCCAGATTTTTGTACCTAATTTTTTAATTTAAAATTACATTTTGAAATTATGACTCTTTAACTCATCAAAAGCATATCAACCTATCTACCTCACCTTGAAAATTCTATCTGCAGTCTTAGGAATAGCTGCTGGTGAATATGTGGGAACCATGTCTGTGAATTCCTCTGCGAAGTTACTCACATCAGTTTCAAATCCAATGCGAGGTTTAAAGGGAGCAGCGACCTTCCTCTCAGCCAACAGCTTCCAATCAATTGACTACAATTAATTCAACGACAAATATAATATTAGATAATGAATATTATTAAAAACTGGATCATTGGATAATGCAATTCAAGACTTTTTATTGGCTTTAGCCATTATGGTATATGAGCCGATATACCATAATCTACAAATATGGTAAGCGTACGCGTCAGCTAAAAATCAAAAGGAAGCTAAAAAATCCGGTTTCTTCTCACAAAATAATAATTTCTTGGGGGCATTTTCATTAAAACAATTATTCCACTGGTGCTTGTTGGATATGAGATGATTATAGCCAACTCGGCAGTATGTGCCTCATTGGCTATCTATCATCTCATATCCAACGCACGCTCGTGAAATAATTGTTAAATGTTTCCTTGTCAAAATGGTGCCACTGTTCAGGTGGCATATTTAAAAAGGAAGAAAGAAATGAGTTTAGTGTAAAGTTACAGACATAGAGAGCTTAAATTAAAGTGACTCTCTAAGACCTTGTGTTGTTGAGGTAACAGTGTAAGTAACAGGAAAGGTCTAAGACTTATAATAAATGATTCAAATGATGGTTTACTGGATCTTTTTGGGAACCCTTTAAACAAATTGGTCAGAACTACAATTAAATAGCTAAAGAAAATATTTTAATTAGCACTATGTGTACCTTGAAGAAAGGATGATCCTTTATATCCTGGGCTCCCTTTGCCCCGAGTCGCACTTTTGGATCTTTCTGCAAGAGCTTCAGGAGCAAATCCACAACTTCTCTTGAAATGTCTGGTGGCATAGGAGGGTTGTTATACAGAATTCGTCTACAAAATAAAGAGAAATCAAGAAGTTAAAAATTTAGTCTCACCTTAAACCTGAGTGCCAATTTGTGGCTTTTTCTCACTTACTAGCACAGCACATCTGTGGTGGCTTTATTAACCTTTTATTTGATCAAATCATGATTTGACCTCTGAGAGTATCTAATCACCCCATACAATATCTCCCTGAATCACAGACTAAGGTCAGAAGGATAAAGGAAATGATCACCAACTAAAGAAGCACTTGATTGTTAAACAAATTCTCCTGTCAGCACCTTAAGAAATGTAAAGAGAACAGTATGGAGAATATACATACCGGTACTAATGTTAGAGTGCGGAGGGTTAAGGCTTGGAGCAGGAGAAGATCTGGATTTGACATTCCAGGATACTAAAGCATGACTCAAAGAGTTCAACCCACCCTTCCATATTTTGGAGCAAACACTAACATGCTTAATGCTCCATTTATATGGTCTCACGTACCTGAGACAACCCTAACCCCGAGTGACCCTGGGCAAGCTAACTTTTCACTCATTTCTTTACAAAATTCAGCCACCTGTTTATATGAGGTTGTGAACTCATCTAGGGTAGGTGAAACAACAAGACAACAGAAACAGAAAATGTATGCGGACACTATAACTAGAGTATGTGCGTATTACAGTGATTGGCTCCTGTTGTACACCACTCTGTTGAATGTTTAACCTGGCCTGGCTGAATGAGGGTTAGCAGATGTCAAATTTCACATAAGTGCTCTATAGAGTTGTCTCAGGGAGAGGGTTGTCTTGAGTACCCGAGACCATATAAATGGGGCCTAAGGCACCAAAAAGTCATTTCTTTACATAACTGAAACAAGGTTTGAAGCATCAATCAACACTGACAGCCAGCCATACATTACACTCACTTAGAAATCTCAGATTGACTGTTTTTCTCGCCGTCAACAGTAAAAGGTGAGGCTCCCGTGAGTAATTCATACATGAGAACACCCAAACTCCACCAGTCTACTGCCTGTAAGGAGACAAAAATTGGGTAAAAGGGCTCATTTCAAAGTGAAAATAAACCCTTTTTTTTAAGTTTACCTTTCTAAAGAGGGCAGACTAAGGAAGGAGAAGGAATCAAGAAATGTATTGTTTGGAGACCTATTTATTTTGAGGTAGCAAGTGGGACAATGAGATTAACAAGCAGATCTAGAATACTGAAGACACAGAAAGTAAGAGAAGGGAATTTTTCCACTTGAAGCTTTTTTGAAATTTATTATATTTTATGTCCACCATATTTCAAAATCATTACGATAATCCATCTCTTAGTCAGGCATAAATTAATGTGACACTGTCAATCTGTAGGCTGAGTTGGGCCTAAAAAATTGAGGACTCGTTTGTAAACCACTTATCAGTGAAATTGCTATCCTCAATAAAGATTATTAATCATTAACACATATTTCTGCCCACAAATATCAACTCCACAGTTTTATTCTTAATAATATACATGACTCATGACTATTGGCTCACGCAATTTTGTTAGTCTTTGAAAAAATGGCCAAATTGTACTCGAAATCATGTGATTACCTATATAAATTGCTCAATTAGACAAAAAAAGAGGTTTATTTCAATTTTATTCACTTTGTTTTGTACCTTATCATGTCCTCTACTGCCCCCTTTGACAACTTCAGGGGCCATGTACTCAATTGTTCCACAAAATGAATAAGCTCTCTCCCCCTGAAAACAACAAACAACAAATTTGATTCGTCAAGGTAACACTTCATTGGTAGAAAACTGCAACACACAAAATGTCTTCCTTACCGAGTTGGGCGCTGAAAACTCCTTGCTCAGCCCAAAGTCAGTTATCACCACATGCCCATCAGAATCCAATAAAATGTTCTCTAATTTGATGTCACGGTAAATTATACCGAGCTAAAAGCAAAAATTAATTCATCTCGTCAACTAATTAATTACTGGTCAGATAGGTTGCGTGCGATAAAATAATGCAGAACGAGTGACATTGCGCAATCTGTCAAGAGTTTTAAGAGAATGTGCGATCATTGTTTACTCTTCGGAATAAAAGGGCACCAAACAAATAACCAATTTGAAGAATTAAGACATAAAAATCGACGATTACGGCAAAAAATTTTGGAACCTGTTTATTTATATTTGTCATAAACTCCGACCAATGAAGCTGAGGAAATCTAATTGGGCGTAAAATCCGACTGGTTTTGTCGAAAACCTGACAAAAAAAAAGAGTCTAAAACATTTCACCCACCCTGTGAAGATGTTCGATAGCGATGATAATTTCTCCGATGTATATTCTGACTTCGTCCTCAGTGAACTTTTCGCGTTGATACAAGTGGGTGAAAAGTTCGCCTCCGTTTACATAATCTGCGAGATTCACAGAAAATAACAAATAACATGATTGAATTAAATCAAACTTAGATTTAAAGCTCACTAATATTTCGATATTGCATCAAGTCTTTGCAAAGCCTGTTTAAAAGCGAAACCTAGGGCACGGAAGTTTTCAGGCGAAATACGCCAAACTCACGAACCATCCTGGAAACGTGACATATAAATCTGAAAGCAAAAACACGACTTCGAGATGTGCGAAATTCAAAACATGACGGAAATGGTTCCTCGAACCGTGATTTCGCTGGGTTAATATGAAGGGTTTCTTCAGCTTTCTAACAAAGCGAAGCGAGGAGAAGCTTATATAAAATACAGTAAGTTTACCCATTATCAAATGTAGCTTTGATTCTGTTTGAAAAGCCCAATGTAATGTGACAAGAAATGGACACCGACGAACGGCTTCTAGGACCTGTCTCTCTGTGCGAGTATGTTCAGCTGTCTTCGCTTTCTGAACGATCGTAGCCTTTTTAAGTACTTTCATGGCGTACAGGTTCCCAGTGAAGTAGCCACCTCTTTTACGAACGAGAAAAACTTTTCCATACGCTGTACGTGAGAAAAAAAATTGAGTCAACATTTCCATGAAGGGCTGAGCACGAAAACACAAGCAGGTTGAGTTTACGCAGGTTTTGCACAGAGCAGGATCCCTCGAAGAATGAAACTAAATCGGCTGTTTCTTACCTCCCGTTCCGAGCACTTTAAGAAGCTCAAAATTCTCCAATCCAACTTTTTCGTCCTCGTGAGCTGTCAAATTAGCTATGGGAAAAAACAAAAAGTTATGCAGAACTGATCGTCAACAGTGAATTGTTTATGTTCAGACGACCGAAATGTCCTAATATTAAGCTTGGCTACGGCAACCGTAAGAAATCTGTACCGTTTTTCAGCTCGTGGTGAATCAATTGAGTGTTTTCAAAGCCATTTTCCATCATCTTTACCGCGCTTTGAAGCCAAGAAGGCTTTCAACAGCGAAAAAGCAGAAATACACAAAGTTCGCCCGACATAGACGGTTTCGGTAGCAATCCCCGAATCTTATTTCTGACCTTCTGATTGGTTTACCAAATATAATATATTTCTCTCACGTGACAAAATAATTTTCCCCTTCCTCAACTTTCAAAACTACTTCCGGTCATTTTTCACCAAAATTTCACTCTTTTTACAAATTAAAGAAAATCACAATTGCCATGAGGAGAGGAAATTGATTTAAATTTCAAATCATCGAACGAGAAAAAATAAAAGGAAAAGAAAAAATAAAAATGATAAAACAACTTTTAGTAACAATTGCTGGAATGTTCCTACGCACTGAGGTTTCACGGAAGAGTAACGAAAACGGAAGTAGGAACTGTCTTGTTTCCGGTCTGAGGTAATGATTCTTCTTTACGGGCTTTCAAGATGCTAAAACTACTACAATGATGCAAAAGTGAAACTCTAGCAAAAAAGCCAACTTATCATCACGTTTTATTTCAAATCGAATTACCTCCCCAAGTGAAAATTACCCACAGGACACTTCAACGCTTGATCGAGATGTGAGCCAGCTAAACGGTTGTAAGATGGAGAGAAAAATACTGATCTCATTTTTTTTTTTTTTTGCTTTACTACTAAAAATAAACACATTACGGGTAGTTTCCCATATCATCCTTCTTTGTGTTTCATTTTTTAATTTCAGAAAGTCCGATGAATTTGTAATGATTGTTACGGAAAAGAGCTTGCGTCGACATCGATATGATCAAGCACTGACCGTGTCTCGGTCTCGAAACTAAAAAATGGGCAGTCCAGACTGCATATGGCTACTGCTGCCGCATTCCACATTATGAGTTTTCTACGAGAGAAAGATGATTCAAGAATAAATTTATCTCATTAGACGTTTTGTTGTGTGGTATATCGCTAAGTATTTTTACGAGTTGCGCCGTAGGGCGAGTCAAAATACAAACAACGAGTAAAAATACCCAGCGATACTACACAACAAAGTGTCTAATAAGAGATTTATTATCCAACATGCCAAATTGTTAGTTCAGTGCGGGCTAATTTCAAGAATATTTCTGTAGTACAAATATTTGTACTTGTCTCTACGAAGCACAGTTGGATAACTGAGTGACTAATTAACACTCCACCAATACTTACATGGTAACAAATAATTATATTAACAATAATAATAATAATAATAATAATAATAATAATAATGATAATGATAATAGCAATAGCAATGATAACTTAAAGAGGCTAGCTCAAAAACCTGACTGTTCCTCTAGGCTCCAGTAATGATTATAGGAAATCGGCCACTAGTGCCCCAAGTCAGAAATCGGTCATCAGTGTCAAAAATCAGAAAACGGTCACTAGTGTCCCAAATCAAAAACGGCCACCAGTGTCCAAAATCAAACTTCGGCCACTAGTGTCCAAAATCGGAAATCGGCCCTAAGGCTAAAAAATCCTTTTACGAAATAAGAGGCTAGAGTCGAAAATAGAAAATATGTCCGTAGGAAATATGTATTACCTTGTAAAAATAATCACAATATTTTGCTATAAAATACAAACTCTGACACTTCTTGAATTCCAAACTGAGGGATAACAAATTGGCGCAAACGAAAACTCAAACAGTAACAACCAAACTACCACTCCGTAAAAAAAAAAAACAACAACAACAACAACAACAACAACAAAATATACGCGAGAAAAATGTTCACGTCAACTCAAGTTCCAACGTCGGGGTTAAAATTTTTTGACGTGACTGGCTTATTTGTGAAATCACGCGCGCTGCACGTGAATACAAAAAGAATTTGAAGGAGGGAGAGGGAGAGGAAAATAATGATTGTGATTTTCGAATAAAAGAGATTTTCTACAACCCGTGTCCATAGTACCTGTGAAACATCGGGTCAAAATTGGGTCAAGATTGGAATTCTATTGTAACACTCACTCACTCACTCACGCAGTATCTCTACAGTATATCTGGCTTCGCCTTCAATAGGAGGCTGTAGCCATAAATATTTTGCTATATATTGTATTCAAATGTAATCTTTGACTGCCTATTCTTTTATTACTGAGGGGGAGGGTTGGGGGTGCGAACATATTGTCAATGATGAACAACAGATGTCACGTGCCTGAACATGCGTAACCATCCAGTTCTGTAAGGTGCAAAACATGGCTGGGTTTTCCGTCGCGCGAAAGCTGATTCCCGCAAGAATACCTTTTATCTTGTGCCGTCGAGTGTCTTCTTTCTTCACAGAGGACTACACTCCACCTCAGCTTGATCATGTCACACCCGATTGGGACAAACTTTATCGGCAGAGTATTAAAGATCCTGAAACTTTCTGGGGACGGCTTGGTGCGACGGGATTGGATTGGATGAAACCCTTCGACTCAGTAATGGACGTAGATTTGCAAAAGGGACAGCACAAGTGGTTTTTAGGTGGTAAACTCAATGTTACAGGTACGGAGGTAGTTGATGCTTTTACCTTTTTTAACCTTACCTCGGAGCAAGCGCTTTCAGGAAAACATTTCCGTGATCAGGTGCTATTAATATTATTAAAGGGTGCATGGAGAGGGCATGGGCGGTTATTTTCCATTTAATGTTAACTTTGTTTAAAGCAGTCCTGTTCTTAGGAGACTAACATTGACTATAGGTAGTCTGAAGGTGAAATTCTTATGTTAAATTCAGACCTATGGCCTGTATTCCTTCCTAGTCCTTTCTTTTCTAGTATAATTACTTATTAATCCCTCAGCTTCTTTAATCATTTACTTTCTCTTCTCTATAGGTGGTTTGCACGTTACGTCATGGCCGCCATGTTGGTGGACATAAACAATGGATATCTCATTAGCTTCTTTTGTTCGTCCGCCAGCATTTGTTCCTTTCACCATTGTTACCTGTGTCTCTAGAGATTGGTTGCAAACCACCTATACATACATATATACATACATATATAAACGTAAAAAACCTTATCCTTGAATCGGAGAGTGCTCTACAATCATGGAGCTTTGTAAGCAATTATTTAGGAAAATAAAAATTAAAACTTCGCACTAAAACTTCGCACTACAGATCTGTTTTGAAAGGGTTAAAATGGAGTTTTCCGTGACCTGGAAAATAATAGCTTGCGCCAGGCTGTACTCAAATACTACAAAGAGATGCAATCTTTGCATAGCTGAAAAATTCTTTATCATATGCAGAACAGGGGCGGGCACCCTAAACAAAAGGAACGAACTGGCGAGTGCGTGCCGGCACTCAACTAATTATTTGATAAGGCATGCTCAAACCACCTACTTAAAAAAGGATCGTCAGTCAACTAGTATCTTACCCACCGGACGAGAGAGGACTTTTAACCCTTTCGAAACAGATCTGTAGTGCGAAGTTTTAGTGCGAAGTTTTAATTTTTATTTACCTAAATAATTGTTTACATACATATATATACACTCGTTTTCAAAAAGGTTTTCATATGGATAGATATATAGATATATATATACTTTTGTTTCTTGCACGTGCGCTTGTGTGCATTTTTCATGTGTCACTGTCCAACATGTGAAAAATCTCGTTTTAATGAGAAATTCTCTCTCTGTCGGGTTCTTAATGTTTCAATTTGTGAACAAAGAAAGAATTTACGAATCCTGTTGGCAATTAGTTTACTTGCATACTCCAGGAAATTAAAGAATGAAAAATTGGGTTTAACTTAGTTATAGGTTATCTACAGTTGTCATTACTCGATGAGCTTTCTTACTACAATCCGTATCTACAATGATTCCTCTGATAAAAGAGGAGGAGAGGGCATTTTTCAAATGAAAGAACTAAACAGCATGTTCTTTTCAAAGTGAAACAAAGAACCCGACAGAGAGAGAATTTCTCATTAAAACGAGATTTTTCACATGTTGGACAATGACGCGTGAAAAATGCACACGAGCACACGTGCAAGAAAACAAAAGTATATATATATATATATATATCTCCATATGAAAACCTTTTTGAAAACGGGTGTATATGTTAATAATTATTATTATTATTATTGCAGAGAAGTCAACTGAATGCTACATTCTAGTCAGGCAGCACAGGGCGAAAACCATAACCTGTGAGCCATGGAGTAAAAAATACATGTACATTAACTAATCCTAAGAAGCTTTTCCGTTGTGTCTGCGGTCCTCCTTCTAACAGGAACTCAAACTGCCACCTTGAAAGTCCGGACAATATTCAGCGTGCCCGAGAGCATTGCCCTCTGCATCTTTCGCAGTACGTCTGTGCTTCTGCCTGCCACCAGCTCACGTATCATGACATCCAGCTCCCGTGACCACCCCCCCATGACCACCCTGACTCCAGCAGAGTAACTGAAGTTCCCACCAGCTTCTGCTGGATGATTCAAATCCTGGCCAGCAACAACTTGAGTTTTACCATGCTTTCATAGAAATTTTAAAGCATAATAATGATAATAATAATAATAATGATGATAATTATTATTATTATTATCAGCATCATCATCATCATTATTATTATTATTATTATTATTATTATTATTTTGCTTAATTTCTATGAAAGCATGGTGAAACTCAGGTTGTTGCTGGCCAGGATTTGAATCATCCAGCAGAAGCTGGTGGGAATTTCAGTTCCTCTACTGGCGTCAGGACTCGACATTAATGATAGCCAAACTAGCCACAGGCTGGTAGAAATTCAGTTTTGGCAAGTGGTTTTCGATTTCCACCAGCCAGTTTGGCTAGCAAACAAACTGAAATTGTTGTAACATCTAAGTTGTCACTAGCCACTCGGCTAGTAAGTTGAAAAGTTAGTGTCGAGCCCTGGGATTCACTTTTTATTTTTAGTTTCTGTCATTTTATATCATACACATTTAATGCTTGAAAATTTGTTTCACATGCATGCTTCCTTACTCTGCCAAATCAAAGCAAGACTAACATACACTTTCAATGCTTATTTTGCATTGTATTTTATAGTAAACTGTGTTGACAGACACATGAAAGTAGATCCTGATCGCTGTGCCTTGATATGGGAGAAGGACGAACCAGGGGATGTGGAAAGGATCACCTATAGGTAATGACTTTCCCTAGCCCTTTTACTCCCAAGATCTCTTAAGTAAATTTTCTCCCGACTGTTTGTCATATAATTCTTATTATGTTAGTGTGGAGAATTAGGTATTGGATCAACTTATAATCCTCCTATTGATATTTTGCTTTATTTTCCTTCTATGGCGCTTGATATTGCATTGATAGCAAGGCTCCCACACTTGCGGGGGGCAGAGCCCCATACTCATGGAATATGGTCAACCTCTTTTCGTTTGGTTGTCACGTGACTGACTGAGCGTACATATGTACGTGCATGCCTTCAGATTGCATGGGTAGGGTGGGGTAAGGGAGACTATCAAAATGAAGGGAGGGGTGACTTGGGCAAGTCTTGGCAAATGCACATCTTTTATGTTATCATTAATATTACGAACTTGGGAGCTCCGCTTTTAGGCTTGGCTAAATCTATATATTATAATTTGTGAGAAGAAATTCTGTCCTGGTCATTGCTGCGATTTCAAGGTTTATCATCAATTCTCCATACTGTTTTCCATACATAATCTTGTAATGTTCTCCAAGAGAATTTGGCAATAAATCAAGCAGCATCCTTTCATTCATATTTTTCTTTGCTCCGATCAACCTTAAAAATGTATTGAACATAACCTTTGAGGAAGTAATTTTGAAAAAGTGAAGGTTGAGACATACAAAAATGGGTGAAGAGTTTGGCTTTCAAGAGAAAGCAAGATTGTTCACTGTATTGTCAGAAATTAAGTCAATATTCTTATATATTTGTGCATGATCCTCACAGTAAAGAGCGAGGATATACGAAGACATATGAATTTCAGATATTCGTTGTGTTAGTCAATATTCTGTTGGTTGGTTGACCAGTCAACTGCTTCAGGTTAGGACTGTGCATATGAATACTGTAATTATCTAAAAATAAAAAAAGAAAATTGCCCTCAGTGGATATTTACTAGCCTAAGGCTGCATTTTAGCTTTAGTTAGTGAATGCCTATTTAGCTTCATTCATCCCTGCTTTGTTGACAAATTGTTTATTATTTCTCAGAGAGTTGTATGAAATGGTCAATAAGATGGCTAATGTTTTCAAGAGCCATGGAATCAAAAAAGGAGATGTAGTCTGTATCTACATGCCTGTCAGTCCATTAGCTGTAGCTGCCATGTTGGCTTGTACAAGAATTGGTGCCCCTCACAGGTAAATATTTATGTAAGGACAGTGTTCTCAGTTATTTGAAGCACAACGGACAAAGAAATTTCTAAACCAGTATTAATAGCAGCTAGTCCTTTCTCTAGTTGAATTTTTTTTAAGAATTCTAAGCAATTTCTAGGCTGTAATAAGGGTTACTGTTGATAGCAATAAATTTTAGTGGTTACCTCATGAAAAGGGATCGTGGCATTCAATATCTCAGGTAATTAATTAAAGGTAATTAATTGTGCTCAGCTTTGGCAACTGAATGCCAGGAACAGATCAGCCCACTGGCTGGAAAGACAGCAACAAAGGTTTTACATGACTTTCTATCTTTTGTCTGTCTTAATGTAAAGATGATTTGCCATATTTACCTGTGTATAATGTGCACTTTTTTTCTACAAAAATAACATCAAAATCATGGTGCATATTATACACGCCTCCCGGTTAGCTCAATGGATAGAGCACTGGACTGTTGTGCAGGGTGAGGTAGAGGGTTCAAGCCCCAGCCGGACCAACACTCAAGGTCTTCAACTCTCGTTGAAATTTAAAACTTAAACTAAATAACTTTATAATCTTTTTAATTATCTGCTGTAAATAACTATTATCTACATAAATTATGTAAATGTATTTGACTTTTAAATTTTTTAGTGTCCCCCATTACCTTATAGCTAAAAACATAGACACTTAAATAAAGTTTTTCATTCATTCATTCATTCTTAAAATAATTGAGAAGAATATGCTACCTTCCTCTAACATAAAGAAATGGTTAGATATTCTAGTCTTCTCGGATAGGGACGAAAAAATGGAGGTCCTGTCTCCTACAGGGTTAGGGGTAGGAGACATTAATTTCTCACCCACGAGATTACTGTGTGATGGATGTCCTCCCCTGGGGTGGGATGGGTGGGATTTAATGGGTGGACTACTTGCATGGATCACATATGTTCTGTTCTAGTCCTACCCTACTGCAGTAATGCAGTGAAAATGGTTGAGAAAAAAAAAAATCAAACATGGATTCCATTGTTTGTGACTCATGTCCTTATTTGCATACATTAAAAACACAACAAAAAAAGTAACACATTTAAAGGTTTGATTAAATAACTTATTTTCAATGAAAAATTATAGGTGCATATTAAGTTTTTACTCTAAAATCAAGAGGAAAGACAAAAATCGCTAAATATTTTAATTTGCAAGTGTCCAAACAGGCAGATGGATCAGATTTCAGAGTGGTTATGCAAATTTGGCTGCGGGTGAAGAGATCTCATGTTACATAGAATTTTTCTCTGAGAAGCAAAAAGAAA